AGAAAAATCATATTTCTTGGAAATTCTGAAATTTTACTAGAAATTCAAAGTTCAAAATGTTCCAAAATTCGCAAAAATCTATTCTTCACTTCTCCGAAATTGGAATCCTTCTTGTTCCATCTGTGAGCAATTAGAAATATAGAAGGGACCACATGTTTATAAATTTCTTTGCGTCTCTCCAAACTTGTATACTCTCTATTTCTCTTTTGTTAAATTTTGTTTATTCCGAAAAGTCTCTTAATCTTTAGAAACTCGCAATGGGATTATAAAATCTAAGTTTCAAAATTTTCAACAGATGCAAAACAATTAATCATTATTAAAATTTCTCCATTTCACTTATTTCTGTTAGATTTTAAAAAAGTAAAACCACTTGCTTAAAACTCCCTAAAAACTGGGCCCCAGGGACAAATTACCATAGGAATTTCAAATTTGACCTCAGAATTTAAACACTTTGACTCCGAAGTGGTGTTTGCGGGCCACACACCACATTTCACGACACTTGTTCGAATCTCTCTTAAAATTAGGTATCATGGGTAATTCACTATGGGAAATTCAATTTTGACTAGATTTTCAAAATATACCTTCCCAACTACAGTAATCCCTTCCAGATCCACCCACCTGGTCCGTCTACCCCTGAAAAACCATCCATCATCGTTGACGCTGGTGTACATGCTCGTGAATGGATCGCTCCGGCTGTTGCTCTTTTCATGATTAAAAAAATTGTTCACGAGTACGGTATCAACCCCCAAGTGACGGCGAATCTTCAAAAATTCGACTGGTACATCATGCCGCAAGTCAATCCAGACGGCTATGAGTACAGTAGGACGAACGTGAGTGTGAAATTTGGATTTTCTGCAAAAGTTTGGTTTAGAAATTTTTTCTAGAACTTTCTTGCACCATTTTTAGGGATTTTGGTGTTTGCGGACTTTTGAACACTACAGAAATCTGAAAGTTTGGATTTTCGTGGTTTCAGAGACACTTAGAGGCGTTGTCAATGTCAAAAATGAGCCTAAAACCAAATTTTCAGTTTAGAAACCTAAAAACGGGACGTTTTGGCGTCATTCGGTGTTTGCGGACTTTTGGAGCTACAGTAACCCGGAAAAATTCAACAATCTTCAAAATTACGCTAGAAACTTCTAGTTTTTTGCTTCTGGACCCAAATTTTGTAGGGAACTTAAAAACTGTTTTTGCAAGCTTGTGAGACCTCGTTTTTGCGTACTTCTCAAGCTACAGTAACCCAAAAACATTGCAATTTGAGGTTTTCTCAGATTCAAGCAGCTTTTGAGCAGTTTTCAGAGCTAAAATTTGATTTCCCGCGTTTAGTTTGGTCTAAATTCCAATTTTGAGCTCGAAAGCTCGCAATCGGTGTTTGCGGACTTTTGGAGCTACAGTAACCCAGGAAATTCCAAATATCTTCAAAATCACGCTAGAAACTTCTAGTTTTTTTCTTCTGGACCTACATTTTGCAGGAAATTCGAATTTGGAATAAAATTAAAAAATTTCAGGACCGATTATGGAGAAAGACGCGAAGCAAGAATGTGACGGTGAATCGCTGGTGTGTGGGCGCGGATGCTAACCGTAATTGGGGTTATCGATGGGGTACAGTAACCCTCAAATTTCTGGGAAAAATGAAAAAAATAATTTTTTAGGAGAAGCTGGTGCCAATCGTACCCCATGTTCCAACATCTACATGGGCAGCCATCCATACTCGGAGCCGGAAATTCGAGGTGAATATTTTTTCCCACTTTTTAGAATTTTTCAGTCATTTTCAGAAGTTTTGAATAGCAATTTTGAATTTCTCGCACTTTTTTACTTATAGAACCCCATTTTTAGAGCATTTGGAGCAAGTGTCGTAAGGTCTCANGAAATTTCAAACATGTTGAACTCTAACACGACCTATTTTAATCAACTTTGATTTTCGACCGTACAGCGCCCGCGGTCGACGGTCAAAAATCAATTTTCACCTAAATAGGCCGAGTTTGGGCTCAAAATGTCGGAAATTCTGTGAGAAGTTTGAAAATCCATGTTTAAATTTTATTTTCATG